CCCCAAAACCCCAAAACCCCAGAAGTATAGTTTTATATACTTAGATCATGATTTTATGTATTTTTCAATAATATTAAAAATGAAACAGAAAATTAATGTAGCCAGGAGAGATGTTATATCTTAATATAGTTCAAATGCTCCCATAAAAGTAAAGAACCCCTCAGACTAGATTAGTGACATTATCAACTCAATAGACGATCGTGTTTTTGACTTAAGGTCTGTATAAAATAGGAGACCAGCCTTATAACAATCTAAATCTAATTCTACTATTTTTGACAGAATCACATCACTTGAAGATGTCATGCTTTAGAGGCCTGATACAAACTCTCTCACAACTAAAAATACTTAATAAGGGTTTCATTTTAGAAAGTCAACTAGGACTTCTTAAATTATTAAAGACAGCTAACTAGTGGCAGAAGATGAGCTTATGCCTCAGACAAATATTGTATAAATTTCTGCAGATATAGGTCTTGTATACAATAACGAATTTAGTAGTAAATAAAGAAAAGATCGTAAAGTTTTTAAGTCTTAAATTTTCACCCCTAAGTCTAATGATAACCATAAACTATTGAAAACAAACTTTAATCATGTAATAATATCTTAGTAATATTATAGAAAACATCGCTTGTTCCCAATTTAGAAAAAGATAAGTTAGACTATGAAAAAACAGTAATCGATAGGATAAAAATAGAAAGCAAAGATTCAAAGGAGCACGATGATAACTGAAAGTTTAAGGAATACCTAATGAAAGAAATAGAAGAATCGAAATACCTTAATGAGATACTTCAAAGAAGAATACAGAGGATGAGTGAGATACTTAAGATATACGAAATAAGGATAGAGTTTGATGAGAACATATGTCTAAAGCAATCTGACGTCGAGGATTTGAGAAAACTTATTGAGCAGTTAACTTAGACTATTTCAAACACTTCTTAAACCGAATTATTGGTAAGAAAATTGATATATATTCATTGTAAAATAGCTAAGATTAAAAGAGAGGGAAGAATTGGCCTTGAAAACTGAATTCAATAATTTGAAGCATAAATATGACATTGTTTTAAAAGAGAAAGATTTTGTGGAAAAAAAAGCTAAGATGCTTTAAGAAAATTTAAAGCAAAGTGAGGAGAAGCTCAGATAGCAAAAGATAGATATCCATAATGAGAAGAGGAAGAATGAATTCATGTCACGAAGAGTAGTTGAAATGGAAAAGTCTCTCAGCGCTATGGCTGATGATCTAGGATAACCAATAAATAACAATAATAATTGGCAGGGGCCGACTGTTTCAATAACAAACTTCTCATTAGAAGATAATAACATGTAATAAAAGTAGCTAATGCCCCCAACACCAATGTCTCCTACTAAGTTCAAACCAATACCATAGAATGCCTTGTAAAAACCAAATATAGATACTAATAGAATGAGAAGTGTATTGACAGCCTTAAATAAGCAGAATGAGAGTATAAAGAAAGAGCTGAATCTCTATAAAAAGCAATTCAATGAAAAAGTAGAAGATATAGAGTAGCTTAATAGCCAAATCAAAAGACTACAGTCAAAAGTCAACTTCGGAGTCAAATCTATGTTTGAGAATAAACTAAAGGAAGCATTTTCTCTTAAAGTATTGCCAGGATTGTCAGGCTTGCCTATTGCGGAGAATCCAAAATAGGAAGATCAGACGGAGGAAGAGTAAATAGGCCATGGTTTGTAGAACATGCTACAAAAGCAAATGAAGTGAATTAGTCTAGCTACATCATCTCAAAATACTAACTCTTAGTAAGCTTAGTAAAATTTCTGGGATCTTGACTAAAGAATGGATGGATTAAAGCCCAGTCATTTAAAAATTCTTGATCAACTATCAGAATTAGGAGTTTAGCAATTTCTTTAAGCCTGTAAAAAGGATGTTAAGTACGATTCTTAGCTATACTTAGAAATAATAGCCACTTCATATTTGTCATATAAGAACTTTTCAGAGTCAATTAACTTCATAGTGAATTTCCTGCTCTATGCTTAATCACTTCAAGATCTTGAGACATCAGATAAAAATGGGTTAAATGGCACTATTAGATTAATGTCAATCTACAAAAATAAACTTCCGAATTTTTTTAACTGCACAAAGGTTACAATATGGGTTAAAGATTTGTCTGAAAATTAAATATGGACTACTCATTAAAACAAATTAATTGTCAGGAAGGGACCACAGTAATAAGAAATTATTTATTAAGCCTTGGAGTAGAAGAAAATATTGATCTTTAGAAGAAGAGATGAAATTACTTACCAAAAATAATATTAAAAGAACATTGAACATGATTTTTACCAAGAAGAGGAGAGGAAAAATTTGATGATTATTCCTATAATTTCAGACACATCTGGATAAGCCATTGGGGCATTTGAGATAATGAATTTTAGAGTCGTTAATGATTCCCAAAGAGCAATTATCTCTTCTGATCATTCAAAATTTGCTATGATGCTTGCTAAATTCGCTTCTAGTATTTTAGATAAGGAAAAAATTGAATCTCATCAAAAGAGAGAAACAAATTTAGTTGAAAAATTCTCTTACTTTAGCAGACTAATTATTCAGTGCAAAAACATGAATCAACTATATCAAATGTTAAAACTATTTGTAAAGGAGATCTTCAACTCTTCAGTTTTGCATATTATCTTAAGAAAAGGAGAAGATCAAATTGTAGTATACAATGAGAATCAGGAACCAGTTGAAGAATCTATTAAGGTGGGTATATGTGGAGATTTCCTTTAAAGATAAATACGGAGGAAAATAGCTATTAGGAATGCTTATGAGGATCCAAGATACAATAAAAAGGTTGATATTGGAGTGTCTAACTAAATAATCTTGATGCCGATTCTACTTCAAAAGTTTGATGGGGAATCTGAAATTATAGGGATGCTGTAGTATGAAAATAACAATTACAAAATCGACTTCAATGAGTAAAGGCAAGTCAGAAATCATAATTTAAAGTATGCAAATGAGTCATATTTGGCTGATGATTCCCTAGCAAATCAAATACATAAAATAAGTGGATTTATCGCTGCTGCTGTTGACTATATTATGAGAAAAGATAATTGATTTATATTTAAGTTTTGATTATATTCCAAGGAGTATTGATAACTGATGCATGGGGTTTTGGGGTTTTGGGGTTTTGGGG